GGCACCGTGTGTTTTCTTTAGGATGTCCTCCTCTTGAGCGGGGGGGGGTGTCCCCCCCCCCCCCCCCCCCCAACAACCTGCCCTCAAATTTTGTCAGTTTGTAGGGTTGACTCCCAAGGGTCTATGGTTAAAATATTTCGCGGGCCCGATGCTCTTTGGCCGAGTTATAAAAATTTCAAAATTTGAAAAAACCGGCTTTTAATGCATTTTCGACTCAGTGCCAAAAGTAATTCTTGCCAAGTCCCGTATTTGAACAAATCGTTTTAAAAACCAATTTTTTTAGGAATATGTTTGTTATGTTCATGTCCACCGGATAACATATTTTCTCCCCGAAAAAAAATCTCCTCGCAAAAATTCCCTACGCGAAACTGAATTTGGGTGGTTTGAAAACATAAAAATTTCGAGAAAACCAGTACGGATTCGTTTCTCCGTTTCCAACTACCATTCCAACACTTGTTCCACAAACAGCTCAAGCAGCTCTACCGATTCCAATGAGAAAAGAAGTTTCACCCAATCTCACCCAACCTCACCCAACAGCCAAACTCATCAAAATCATGTAATAAACGCATTCAGGCCTGTGCAAATTCATTAAGAAACATCGCTAACGAGGCTTCGTATGTGAAAGCTGAAGTTTGTGAAGATTCAGATGAGGTTGGGTGAGATTGGGTGAAACTTCTTTTCTCATTGGAATCGGTAGAGCTGCTTGAGCTGTTTGTGGAACAAGTGTTGGAATGGTAGTTGGAAACGGAGAAACGAATCCGTACTGGTTTTCTCGAAATTTTTATGTTTTNAAAGTCGAGAAGCACACATTATACTGAAAAGACTAAAATAACGTCGTCTATAAATGTCTTGACTATAGTATAAGGTAAGAACTTTTAAGAGCTCATTTATATTCTGGGTTCTTACCCTTTGAAAGCTCACTTTATCTTCAACTGATAAATTAATTTTGACTATATCAATGAAGAGTATATTTATACCTATTGCACATCACCATACTATTAGAAAGAATTAGTTTCGTAACTTTCACATCTCGCTTAGTTCTCAGACTGAATGAAAATGGTTCGGTGGCAAAGTTAAAACCACGATGTGCAATACACAAAAACTCGCTTAGTCCCAGTAGTCTTCTGATCCTAATTCGAAATACAATATCATTTTTCTCTGAACGAGCTTGGAATTTAACGGATTACTGCATATTCTGTCCTTTCTTTTTTATGAATATCTGTTTTGGTAAGTTGTAAGGCAAGACAGAACAATATTTCACGACTTCTTGGATGACTTCTGTAATCTGTGCTCATTTTCAACTTCCCTATTCATAAAGAAATCGAACAAACAGGAAGAATTTCTCTAACTGTATAGGACCCTTTCTCTGTTTGAAGACAGATATTATCAGATTTTATATAAGGTTGGCGCAATGCAAAATTCGAGCAAAATTTTTTTTGTCAATTTTTTAATGGATTCCGAAGTGGTTTGATGCGCTGAATCCGAATATGTATGATTTAATTAGATAAGAAATGATCTTCCTACTGAAAATTGAAAAATACTGCGAAAACCGAGGGGTTAAAAAACGGGTTTTCTATTGAGATTTTGACGATGGCGCTTCGAAAAAATTTATTATAGCTTTGAAAGTTTTTTCTGTGAATTCAGCACCAAAAACTGATACTAGGACACTAGGTTTTCATCGCTCAACGCATATCTTTCTCCTTGAAAACATTTATTTGTTTTCACACATCAACCATTCGAGTGAAGCTCATTGAAAATGTATCAACTCATTTTCTAATGAAGGTAGACACATTTTTCTTTCGCCATTGGACTTCTTGGATACCATAGATATAATCTACGTATTATCTTTCCTTAACTCACTTTCTTACAATTTCCTAGTCATTTTCGACCATTCATTTCGTACATGTATTTTTCCATTTTTAACAGCAATTTTCGCTTATTTTCTTTTTTCCAATCTAATTATACGTTCGGAATGAGAAAGATCGTTGTTATTATCATTTGAAGGGCCGATCTAACTATTTTGAAAAAATTTGAGGGGTATGAGTGAAATTAGGTTGGTTGAGGGTGGGTACAGTCACCGTATGTCTAAAGGTTATAAGAGCACTCATATTTCCTAGACACCCTCTCCCACTAGTACGTTCGCTGTCAGCCACATTTTCATGGTAAAGATCGCTCTTCGACGCCTCAAACACATTTAAATCACACTCAGTCTCACTCAGGATTATGCCCTCAAGACTGCATATATCTTAAGAATGGCCTAATAGCGTTTTGAAATGATAATAACAACGATCTTTCTCATTCCGAACGTATAATTAGATTGGAAAAAAGAAAATAAGCGAAAATTGCTGTTAAAAATGGAAAAATACATGTACGAAATGAATGGTCGAAAATGACTAGGAAATTGTAAGAAAGTGAGTTAAGGAAAGATAATACGTNACCCACCCCTCACTCCCGTAATGAATTCATTGATTTAGTAGAAGAACTTTCGAGAGAAATGGTTTTTTATAAATCCGCAAGAAATATCGAACTCAACAGGATCTATAAAAACTCACTTCATTCGAAAGAAATTTTCACCTAACTATACTAATGGGCTATAGGGTTTTGAATAATAAACAGAAATTTGTGCCGAAATACTAAAGTTATAAGAAGGTTGACTTTATTAAGCGATTTTATTTAATGAATTGAACGATTATTGTTATACGCTACAATCCAAAATGATTTATATTCTTATTTCGTTTCAAATAATACCTGTCACGAGTGATGAGTTATGTTTTCTATATTGTAGAACAAGTAACGCTCATCCTTTGTATTCGCCGACCCTTTTCTGAAAGAATTCTTCTGGTGTTGAACATATTCAAACGGTTTGAAAAACACATAAGACACTGCGATTGTCACTAGTCCTCAGCTGAGTCGTGACACTGTGTCGCGCATTAGAGCTGATAGAAAGCAAAGATTGTTCTTTTTTCATGAAACTAACCTATTAGGCATTTGTTAGTGAGTAGTAGTCCAGTGTTAGCTGTGAAACACAGCTAACAATTGCTTCTTTTCTATACTTTCTGGAAAATGATACCCTATCGAATATTTTCATTGAACGTTCGCCAAATTCCTTTTAAAAATCTTTGATTTTTGATAAGGTTGCCCCACACGTATACTCTACGGTGAATCTGGAATTCTAACGTATAGTCGTTCGTCGGCCTCCCTCTAGTCGGCCACTCACGGCTAGCCGCTGACGCATATACAATCAGTTTGCTATTTCCACTGCAAAAAATTAACCCGTTCATAATCGGCCGGTTTCTCATCAGAGATAGTGGGACTTCATCCGATAGTGTAATCTGAAGCACACATTTCATTCTTCTTTCCATTTTTACTAACGAATAATCGGGTGATTTGGTTCTTCAAACGATATCAACCAAGTTTCTTTATAAATCATTCAAATTATCTAGTTCTTTCAATTCTCATTTTCAACCTAACTGTTCATATAAATGTCTAACCGTTGGTGAATCTGGCTTTCATCGTTAACTCAGACCGAACCAGCTCCGTGCGTAGCTTCCATATATATTTCATTTTTATCTTCATCCAGAGAAGGTGTGTGAGTTGTCTCTCAAATTGTCCAAAACGTCTACGAAAAATAACTGGACAACAAGAGACCTACAATAAATTATAGATACGAGAATTAGTCTAAGTCAGGAGAATCGACGTAACTGGAAATGTAAAAGATATTGGAGTTCCTTTTTACTGTACACTCAACTAAATTAAATAATTAACGAAGCGCAGTAACCGCCAGCCTATTTCTGAAACGATATCATCAGATCCTCTTATTCCTCAAAAGAAAGAAATAAAAATTATCTCATTCGAATAGTCCACCCATTCGATTATTTGTCGCGATGTTTTCCTCATACTCTTTTCGCTTCTTGAAATCTTCCGAAAGTAACGTCTAGTCGTTCGTCGGCCTCCCTCCAGTCGGTCACTCACGGCTAGCCGTTATCACGACTGCCTCCGGTATACCTTTTTTGCGATGTATATTGACTAAAATGCTGTCGAAAGACCTGACGTATCCTAACAAACAACGCAGTCATCATATTAAGCGCAAACCGCTTCTGCTAATTTCTTAACCCTTT